GATGTCCAGTGAGTGTCTGGGGGGGGTATCTGATGGGTGTCCAGGGGGCGTCTCATAAGGCGTCCAGTGGGTATTTGGGGGTGGGGGGGTTTCTGACATGTATCCAAGGGGTGTCTGGTGGGTGTATGGTGGGATGCCCAGCGGGTGTCCAGTGTGGTGTCCAGGGGGTCCCTAAAGCCCCCTGCCCATAGAACGCCATGCGAGCCACCGTGGAGAGCCACGAGAACAGCCCACGTCTGCCAGCCATCCGGGTGTTGGTGGCCCTGGGACAGGAGGACCTCTCCATCAAGGTGTGTTCAGTGACACACCCCCCCCCTTCCCCGTCCCCTCTCCATCCCTGCTTGTCACACGGGACTCATTGTCACCACGTGTCACCTCTTGCAGATGAGTGACCGGGGTCTGGGTGTCCCCCTGCGTAAGATCGAGCGTCTCTTCAGCTATATGTACTCCACTGCACCCACCCCACAGCTGGGGGCAGGGGGGGCCCCCATGGTCGGTGCCCCCCTGGTAGGTGGGGGGGGGGATGGACTTCAGGGTGGGGAAGTGGCATGGGGGGATTTGGGGATGGCGTGGTGACATCTGGGGGCATTTGGAGTGGCATGGGGACATTTGGGGGGACATGGGAGGTGGCATTGGGGATATTTGGGGGCACTTGGAGTGGCATGGGGACGTGTGGGGACATGGGAGGTGGCATTGGGGATATTTGGGGGCACTTGGAGTGGCATGGGGACATTTGGGGGCATGGGAGGTGACACTGGGGACATTTAGGAACACTTGGAGTGACATGGGAGGACACTTGGTAGGTGGCACTAATGACATTTGGAGTCACTGGGAGTAGCATGGGGACATTTGGGGGCATGGGAGGTGGCACTGGGAATGTTTGGGGACACTTGGAGCGGCATGGGGACGTTTGGGGACATGGGAGGTGGCACTGGGAACATTTGGGGACATTTGGAGTAGCATGGGGACACTTGGGAGGTGGCACTGATGACTTTTTGAATCACTTAGAGTGGCATGGGGACATCTAGGGACACTTGGGAGGTGGCCCTGGTGACACTGAGGGTCACTTGGAGTAGCATGGGGACATTTGTGGACATGAGAGGTGGCAATGGGGACATTTGGGGTCACTTGGAGTATCGTGGGGACTTTTGGAGTCACGGGGGAGGTGGCACTGGAGACATTTGGGGGGACTTGGAGCAGCGTGGGGACATTTGGGGACATGGAAGGTGGCACTGGAGACATTTGGGGTCGCTTGGAAGGTGGCATGGGGACATTTAGGGCTGCCTGGAGCTGTGTGGGTATGGTTCATTTTGGGGTGCTTTGCTGTAACGTGGTGGGGTTTGGGGTTGGCATGGAGAGGTTTGGGGTTACATGGGGGTATTTTGGGGTTATGTGGGGGTTGGGGATCAGTATGGTGAGGTTTTGGGGTTACAGAAAGGTATTTGGGGGTCACCACTGGTGAGGATTTAGGGTTATATAGGGGTATTTTGGGGTCACCACGATGAGGTTTGGGGGTGGCAATCAGATCTTTTGGGGTTACATGGGAGTATTTGGGGTTGGCATGGTGAGGTTTTGGGGTTACGTGTGGATATTTTGGGGTTACGTGGGAGAATTTTGGGGTCAGCATGGTGAGGATTTGGGATTACATGGGGACATTTGGGGTTGGCATGGTGTTAGGGGTTAAGGGGGTCATTTTGGGGTGGCATGGTGAGGTTTGGGGGTGGCACTTGGGGTCACAGGGGGTATTTTGGGGTTGGCGTGGTAAGTTTTTGGGGTTACAGGAAGGTATTCGGGGTCACCATGGTGAGGTTTTGCAGTGGCATGGGTACTCTGTGCATGCGTGGAGTGGCATGGGGACACGTGGGGTCAGTTGGGTGACCATTGGGATAGCATGGGAGTATTCTGGGATGCCACGTGGGCCTTTTGGGGCTGACGTGGGGCCGTCTTGGGGTGCACAGGGTGGCACACGGATGTTGGGGACTTCACAGCGACCTCAGGGGACGTGGCACAGGGGTGGCGCACAGACAGCTGCATGCACACGGTGCCACCCGCGGTGCTGGGGGGGTGATTTGGGTGCTGACCCCATTGCCTGCACCCCACAGGCCGGCTTTGGGTACGGGTTGCCCATCTCCCGCCTGTACGCCAAGTACTTCCAGGGGGACCTGCAGCTCTTCTCCATGGAGGGCTTCGGCACCGACGCCGTCATCTACCTGAAGGTGGGGGCAACCCCCCTACACCCCTCCCCTTTGTGGGATCCCTTTGGGGTTGGGGTTGTGCCCACGTCTCCCCTGTGCCCCATAGGCTCTCTCCACGGACTCGGTGGAGCGGCTGCCGGTGTACAACAAGTCGGCGTGGCGGCACTACCAGGCCAGCCAGGAGGCAGGGGATTGGTGTGTGCCCAGCACCGAGCCCAAGAACACCTCCACCTACCGTGTGCCATAGGGGTGGGGGGCACCTCCGGGACCCCCAGTGCGCTGGCACTTGGATACGGGAGCTGGGGGTGGCAGTGGGGTATTACGGGAGGGAGGGGGAAGCCCTTGTTGCCCCCAACCCACCAGCCTTGGTGCCCACCCCATAGTGGGCACAGCCCCGTGGGCAGCGAGGGCCCCCC